GGAGCTGGCCTGTTCGTTAGCTCCCTTGCTCCTCCATCCCTCTCCCTTCGTTTCCAGAGATGCGTGGTCCAGGTCATGCTGCAGCACCGGTTTCGTCAGGTAGCGATGCAGCCGTTGGCCAAAAGTCAGGCTTGACACATCAGCCTGAGCTGCTGTTGGCGCCAGCATTGACTGGCTGCCTTCCTATCGCGACAAAAATGGTAGCGCACGTGGGCTCTCCCTACCAGCGCTTAGGCTTTTCTGCTTTCCTCTTGGCAGTTGGGTCCTGCCTGCCAAAGGGAGTTGTGGCAGTTTGACAATGCTCCTCGCTGGAAACCATGTGGGTTGCTGCACAGGCTTAGGTTTTGGTTTGCTTGAACTGATAATCATTGTTCAAAGGTTTTCACTATGCTCAGGAATATCTGCAGCTAGGCTTGTGGTTGTTTGCATAGTGCTTCTTTGATCGAGTACAATCACTAGTTATATCTGAACTGCACTCCGACCTCCTCTAGCTTCCCTTTTTTAGCACGACTTAGAACAATCAGCCTGTCTTTTTCTTCTTTCGCCTATCTGACTTCCTTCCTGAAGCTTTGCTTCACCATGCTTGACACTTTTCGTTTGTGTTCCTTTTGTCTTACCAGGTTTGTTTTTGTTCTTGTTCCAGTGGTGCACTGTACACCTGGAAAAAGTCCGTTTCATAAAAAGCCTTTCAATGCTTCCCAGTGTTTAAAAATCAGTTCTTCGTCAAGACCAATAGATGCTTGCCTTAAACAAGCAGAACGGTCTCACTGGGGTACTGTCACCACTGCCTTTCATTAAGCCTCCAGTTGGGTAGCTTCAGGAAAGTTCTTAAAATCTCTCTCGTTTGCAGTTCCCAACAGAATCATGTGAATCGTGAACTTCTGACCATGCTCAGAAAAACAACATTGTTGCCTAAAATGTAACTTAATAGATTATTGTTTTTGATCACAACTAATTCATCTGCTGTAGAAAGCTTAATCAGAAGAGTGTATTATCCTTAAAGTTTCTGCTTTTGCACAAAAATTGCACAGCCCCATTCACCTAAATGGTTAATTTAAAGTTAAACTTCTATTTTTTTTGTCTATCTTACCAGTTAAAAAACATTTAAAACTAGCAATCTTAAGACTATGCTGTTCAAATGACACTACTGAAATCTTAAGCTAGCACCATCAAAATGGGAATATCTTGTGTTTTAGGATCTGCATTAGATTTTGCAAATCTGTAAGTCATTCTTGAATAAATTCTGTGGTATAAATTCCCATCAAGAATAATTCTGGGTAATTTTGTACCTTAAGTTACAGAGAAGAAAAATTTCAAAATGTTCTATATAAACTAGTGTTTCTTTCTTTAATGTAGCGCCTATGACTGTGTGATACCACCCATGGAAAAGGCTGTAGTGAAAACAGACATTCAAATTGCACTTCCTTCTGGATGCTATGGTCGAGTAGGTGAGTAAACAGGCTGGAAAAAGGCTGCAGAGTCATTGTAGAACAGGTTTGACGCCATCTTCACATATAGATTCTGCCGAAAGCTTTCAGAATTAGTGTACACAAAAAAGAGGTGTCACGTGGCTGTGTGATTTATTAAGCCTCGTAATAGACATTTCTTGTCAAATACACTTGAGGTTTGGTGTATGTCAAATGGCAAAAAGATGATCAGCAAAAATTTTCATAATCTGCATACAACTTTATAGGCTATGCAATAGTTTGTTATTTCTCTGCAGTTTCAGAATTCAAATCACAAAGACCAATAGGTAATGGACATACAGAAAATACACCCCTGGATGTTTAAAAATTAACCCTGAAGTAAGAGTACTAGCGTAGCAGAATTTGACTACTTTTTGTGACAGAATACTTGAGAGAACCTATACAAGATATTTTATGTTTTGCACATCATTTTTCTGAATTATGTATAAATTCTTAAAGTAGAAAATGCAATAGCCACTCCAGTGGAAGAGTGTGATCAGAGTTTGCCGTGTCCTTTCATCTAAAAGGAGAACGCTTGTGCATTTCTCTTATCCCAGACAAAATTTTGAAGAGAGTAACATTTTAGCTCCTCGAAGTAGGCTAAGGTAAGTAAAAAAAAACCCCAAAAACCAAAAAACCCAAACCTGCACATCATTTAATTTATCTGTGTATAATATTTCTTAGTAAACTGCTTGCCAAATATTGTTTTCCACTGTAACTTGAAGAGATTGACCTAATAGTCTTTTGGGATTATTCCAAACCAGCGGTAGCTGCCAAAAATAAACCGAGATTAGATAGTCATCATCTGCTCCAGCTGCCTTCCTTGGAGAAACCTACTCTGCAATTGGTGGTCTAAACAAAGATATGCTTATATCACTTAAAGATTGCAATTTCTTTGTAGCCTGTAGCAGCTGTTATTTTGTTTAATATATACATTAACAGTTACAGTAGTTCCTGTAAAATCATGTTTATTTTAGGAAGTCTGTGGAAACAGTTCTTGCTGCCACAACTCTGTGCAAACACACCATCTAACCTATAAATATTGTGTAAGAGTTTTAGAAGAAATAAATTATTATACTTACAAAAAAAATCTTGTTTTCTAGCACCACGTTCTGGTTTAGCTGCAAAGCACTTCATAGATGTTGGCGGTAAGATTTTTGTTCTTTTTACTAAGACTTTGTAAATCTTGATTGCAGAATTGCCTTAATTTCACATTGTAATATGTGTAAATAGATAATGCTAGCTTCATTGGTAGTCTGGCAAAAGGAGATAACCGGGAAATACCTCAGAGAGCCAGTGTGTCATAATTATTTTAAAACCTGCTAAACTATAAAAATATTACTGATTTTTTAAAGTAACAACTGTGTCGTACTTTTGTAGGCAGTGCCTGGCATAGAAGTTATTTTTTGGTTTAGGCTTTAAAGATGACTTTTTACATTCTGCTTTCTCCGTTTTGACTAGGCATCTATGCATGATTCTTTTCAGTGTAGCGTGAGATCTGAATGAATTCAATCAATAACACGCAGATATTCTTTTATGCAGAGAAAATATAGTAATGATATTCAAAAGGAATGATAGAAAGCACTGGAATACACCATTACTGTGGGTAGAATTGATTATTCGGAACAAGAGAGCTTTACTTTACTCTTACTGATAAAAATGTAACAAAGTATGTGAAGCAAATGAAATTTAAACTCGTAACTTTGTACATTAATTGACTTAAAAATTGGAAGTCTTTTGAAACGGAAATAAAACTAAAATCCCACCTTCTACAAGTCTTTACTGGATTTTTTTGTTCAGTACTAGCAACAGATTTGTTTTGAACAGGGTGGGTTTTTTTAAATATTTTGAGCTTTTCCTTAATCTTGATTAGAAATTCACAGATATCTCTTAAAAAACAATTATTATAGGCATAGCTGTAATCAGAAGCCTTCACGAAAGCCTCACTGTCCTTCTGCCATATCCCTGTAACTGCAACATGAAGTAAATGATGTTGAAAGTTCAATTCCAGCTTTGCAGCGGGGCTGATGAGAGCACAGGCAGATTCTCTAAGTATTGTATTACAAAATGGCATCTACATTGCACAGTAGTTCTCACCGCTAAGATTATTGTGGAGTTATTCTGTAACCACAGCAATTTAACTAGCACTAAATGTGTATTACGTTGTTCTAGTTGTATAAGAATACCGTTCTAAGTTAAATAAAATGTTGTCTGCCTCCTAAAACCCTAAGCAATTCGTTTTTCTGGCAGTAAATTGTAGTAAAAGAACCAAAACCTACATTTCTGATGTAATGACATAAAGAAGATGCATCTAATGGGTATCTTGAAAAGTGCTGGATGGCCGAGAGAGCACATTTTTTGCACGCACGTGATAATTTGAGTCATAATGGAAGTTGACAAGAAAAGCGTGCTGAAAAGTTGAGGCCTCTTCCTCTTCACTAGGTTTTTGGGGTTTTTTTTGGTTTCGTTGGCTTCTTGTTTGTTCCTCCCCCCAGCGTTAAACAGGAGAGACTACTTAGAGCAGTGGTACTCAGCCTTTACTTGCTTATAGGCTTGGCTCTAGAGGTGAGGAAGGGTGACTCTAGGCATCCTTCTCTTCCTGATGCTGAGCCAGCCAAAAAGCAAAGCAATTTCCAGTATAATTTAGAGCTGCTGCAGAACTACTTTATTCTGTCTGCTTTATGGCATATCAAAGTCTGGCTGTGCTTGTGATACAGTTCTGGTATCGGAGGTTAAAGGGGAACATCTGTGCCAGCTTTGTTTCATTTAGGCTTTGTCTTAAATAAGAATTGATTCTTGCACGTCTGTTACACTAGGGTTTTTTAAGGTTGCTGGGTAACATGCAAAAGAGCACTAAGATGGGAATCAAAGATTCTCTACACCCCTATGACTCTCTCTAGTTCACATTGTCTACTATAGTGTGGTTCTTTAAAGCAACGCTTCTAAAACAATTTTTTTGTTTATATGAAAAAATACATATCCTCTGTAACAGTCTTTTCAATCTGAAAGTTAAACTAGGAAATACCAGAAAGCAACGAGAAGTGATTAGCAGGATGACCTATGTTGAGATTTTGAAAAAACTGACAGTTGACAAACCATGAGTAAAAGCTATTACTGACAGTTAGTAGAGGACTTCTTATAAAAAAAAAAAAACAACCAAAACAATTGTTACATCATTTTAACTTGTCCTGCAGAAGTACTTGTCACAATGAGGGCATTATCCATTTAAGTAAAAACACATTGCCAGAAGTCCTAAGGGTCAGGGAGAAAAACTGGGATCATGTAACAATATGTTCAAAATTCACATCTGCTAGGTGTGGATGCTTTCCCAACAAGTGACGTGCCAAACTTCTGACAGAGTAAGACAGAATGTCAGACTGCCAATTCCAATGCATGATTTTTCCAAAAATTACTTAGATGATTTCCACCCAATACACATAATGTAGAAGAGTGCCTTAGTCCTCAGGAACGTATATAATTATTGCAACTTGCTGTTCCAGAATAACAGAATGCCAAGGATGTTAACGTGTTTTGCCATTACGCCCAGTTACATAGAGTGAGTTTGTGACCCTATACAGAAGGAAAACTGATCAGGTCTTCCTGGATCATATTTTCCTGTGTCTTCCAAGGATCATATATTCTTTGATACAAATAGCGTAGTTTGAACTCAAGATCCACACGGTGGTTAAACTCAGTAAGACTATGTCAGTGGAGGTATAATATATTTAAAGAGAAAATGATGGGTAGGAAATTCATTTCACAAAATCTTTACCCAGCTGTGCCTTTAATGGAATTTGAAATTATCATGGCTTTGACAGTGTTTCAGTCACTCAGCACAGCATTAGACTAATCGTTTTGGCCACAAAACATATTTTTAAATGTTATTTTCTCGGTACATAACTTCAACTCTAATTGCAAGTTCTGTTTGTATCAGGTATGCTTTTAAGGAAGAAGCCTGCTCTTCCTCTCTGCATCCTCTGGAAAGCTTTCATCCTCAGAAGTGTGCAGGAAGTGCAATTCTTGCCTGCTAGAAAATACATCCAATACAATCTGTAGAACCGTTACAAGGTGTTTATAGCTAAGCTTAGAAAATTAGAGTGTTTTAGTGAGAGGGTTTTTTCCCCCTCTAGTGAATAATACGAGTGATTAAATTTTTCAGTGTTGCTGGCTTCAGTTCAGCCACAGAAATATTCATCAGTCTTTTCCATCTTTAGTTAGCAGACGGTTTTCAAATCTTAGGGAGCCAGTCTCTAGCAGCAGTCAGATAGGTGGTCAAAAGAATTTGGTATCTGTTCATAGAAGTATCTGTTTAGACAACAGCCTTCTCAACAAATACTTGTAAAATAAATTTTGGTGTCTATACATAAAGCTGAGATCGTGCTAATGCCATTGTTTAAAGGTCAGGGAAGCCATCTGACTAGATTCACTGTCAATCAGTATAGATCCATTATAACACTCCTTTTTAGAAAGGAAAAAAAAAAGGTTTGGGGTTTAAAAAGGGGTAGAAGTATTAACGTGCCATTAAGCTCCAATTACTCCAGTACAAAGTTTTAGATACTCTTTTTGTTTTTCTCCCAGAAATAGCAGCAGCATCTGGTAGATCAAAAAGCTTGATTTGCAGTTAAGCGCTAACCAATACATTGAGTACAATTTTTGTCATTATGTAGAAATAAAGTTGCTTTCTGTCAGAGATATGAAAGCCAAAAGGTTAATTTAGAATGACTTTAAGTAGCCCCAGTTGTTCTGTTCTATAAATTTTCTTCAGATAATTCCAGCAAAGATGTGACATGCAAGAGTTTCTTGCATGTATAAATCTAACCATGCTACTTTAAAGGGTACATTGTATACATATAAAAGTATAATCTCCATTTAAATAGAATGAGTAATCTGTAGTAATCAGTTCTGAGTAGTGTGTTATATAATACGGTATTCTGCTCTGATAACAGAAATAAAACTAGCCCTCGTTATGTTAAGTTAGCAAATTCCATTATCAAAATCCAATGCATGGCAATAGCTATCCCAGCATATGGTCTAGAAAAACGTTGTCTTAGCTGTACAGAAACACTTGAGAATGGTTTGTCAAATTAAGAATTTATCCAAAGAGCTAATGATCTTTTGTATGCATTTATGTGCATATGTACGTAGTTTTCTGTGCCAAATACGAGTTCTGGCTTTCAGCTCTCCACCTGATTGACTCATGCGAACAAATACACCAAATTAATGGGCAACTGACCGCAGAACTTGAGTGATGCTTAAAATTACTTGTGCTGCCATTACAAGTTTGTTGAATCTCTTTGTAATGCATCTATGTAGCATGGAGTCAGTGTCCACTATTGTATAAATCGAAGCAAATTATTTGAGTAGCACTCTTTAGCTAACGCTTTGTGTCACCCCTGGTTTAGCAATTATGTAAGGGCTCTAGATTATCTGATATTTTAAAAAGGAGGAAGGAATAGTACTTTCCTAGAAGTAAGAAGGCAAAATTTTCATGTTATTGTTTTATAGTTCAGCTTTTTTTGCTTCTACATTTGACACGTGTGCATAGGATTTGATTTTTAATATTTTAAGTATTGAATTGCAATATCGAACTGTGGTAGGAATTGTGCAAGAAAGCTCTGTGGTCACCAATATAAGCGATGTACTGTGATTCTCAGTTTAGCTGATGCATAGTTGACTTTCTGAAAGCCGGTCTAACTTAAACCAAATAAACAGTATAGGACCTGTGCATGTAGCTTCGGTACATCAAGCTCTCTGAATCAACAGAACTGAATGCTACATTGAAGAATTCTTTTAATAATTTTTTTTGATTCTGGAAAACGTTCATGCAGAGCAACCCCTATGTTTTGTTCACTGTTACTTTTGACGGTGCTCTGTAATTAGGGTCCCTTTAAGCAATTGCATGCATTAAATACCAGAGAGTCAACTTGAGAACTGCCTGTTTTTCTGAATTTTCAGAACTCGGGGGATACTCCCAGTGTTACTAGCACCTTAATTAGGAAGCTGTTCAGAAATGTGATTGGATTAAC